CTCCCATAAGTTCATCAATGAGGTGGTTTGTCCGGCCATGAGGGTCAATTATGGGCAAGGTGTGAACATTAACGGATTCGTAGGTGAGCGTTTCCTTGGTAAACTTCCCGCTGCTTCTGTCCCAGGGACTTTGTGCTCTTCACGGGTGTTGCGATTCCCGCTCCCTGGGCTGGCACCGCGCGGCAGGACCTCCAGTGCTGGGTTACCGCCGTACTCCGACTTAACGGCTGGCTAACGTGACCTGCTTAGCCCTGGCCTTCAGCAAGCTCTGTGCCCCAATGGGATGTTTTTTCCCCTGATTTTCCACTTTCTGTTTCAAACACCCCTATGGAATGACGCCGAACAAGCCACTCTAACCATCGTGGTTTCCTTCTAGGTGCCGTTTCTCTGGCCGGGGTGGAATCGGGCCTTTGGTCAGTAAAAGGAGGGAACAAACTGGTCTGCACTGGCCTTATTTACGCCTCCAAAGCTGACGTTATCCCTGGTACGGTTTTGTCTATAGAGCAAAAAATCAGACCCAGACGCACAGGTGAGTTGGGTTCGCTTTCCCTTTGGTGGGGAGGGGAAGGGCACGCTCCGGCAGCTGGAGACCGACGTCTCTGCTTGGCTGCAGCTCTTGGAGTGAAGTGACAGCCTGGGTCTGTCTTGGTCTTTTAGGATGAGAACTGGGCTCTGCTCGAAGCCCCAGGTTGTAGCACTCCCTTGTCTGAGCTGGTACTAGTTTATAAAGCTACTTCAGCTGGCAACGAGGTCTAATTAGCCTAAATGGGATGGTATTTGAGAAGCCTGATGTTCATCAGAGGGACAAATGGGCTCTTGGAGTGAAGTGACAGCCTGGGTCTGTCTTGGTCTTTTAGGATGAGAACTGGGCTCTGCTCGAAGCCCCAGGTTGTAGCACTCCCTTGTCTGAGCTGGTACTAGTTTATAAAGCTACTTCAGCTGGCAACGAGGTCTAATTAGCCTAAATGGGATGGTATTTGAGAAGCCTGATGTTCATCAGAGGGACAAATGGGATTCCCTCCAGCCACAGAGGGGGATAAATGAGCTCTCCTCCTGCTTTTCTCCCCAGGGGACCCAGTGAAACTCTACCAGGTGACTTACAACACTACGTCGGGAGTAACGGGGGATACGTATGACATCGTTGTCATCGCTGCTCCGCTGAGTCGCAAAATGGCCAGCATCACCTTCAAGAACTTTGACCCTCCTGTCCCAGAGTTCCCGAATCTTTATCACCAGACTGTCACGACCTTAGTGCACGGACGATTAAACACTTCTTTCTTTGGTTACCAGGACCCATCTGCCTTTCATTTCGGTGCCATCTTGACTACGGAGAATCCCAAACTCTTCATCAATAGCTTGGGAGTGGTGTCTCCTGTGGAAGACAAAGGTGGTGAAGGGAAGCTGCCCTTGCAATCAGCCGTCTGGAAGGTGTTTTCAGAGGAGGTGCTCACCAAAGAGCAGCTTAACTTGCTTTTCTCCTCCTATGACTCTGTCAAAGTGAAGAAGTGGTTGGCGTACCCCCACTACAGCCCCCCAGAAAAATGCCCTCCCATCATCCTCCATGACAAAATCTACTACCTGAACGGGATCGAGCGGGCGGCGAGCGCCATGGAGATGAGCGTCATCGCAGCCAAAAACGCCGCCCTCCTCGCTTACCACCAGTGGTACGGGAACACGGACAAGATCGACCAGGAGGATTTGCATGAGAAGCTGAAAACGGAGCTCTGAGCCTCCCCGCCCCGCAGAGCCAACAGCTGGGTGGTAGTGGGAGCCTTTACACTACAACCTCCGGAGATGTGGGTCACCTACTGTAGCACAATTAAAGCTAACGAACGAGTTGCTCCTCGCTTACTCCTGAGAGGAGACCCCCCAGCCAAGTCAAGACAGACTCGAACAGCGGGGAGAAGGTGGAGGAAGCTTTCCCAAGTGAGCTGGCCCTTCCTCCAGGAAACTCCTCGTTCTGTCCCTATGTGAGATTAAAGAAGTTCTAAATGCCATATTGACCCCAAAAGTGCCCTCCGCGGTACGGAGCTTGCCAAACTCAGGATCTGCATCACTGTGATTAACCCACGCACGTCCTTTGCGCTTTCTGGACTCATTTCAGGCAGGGAAAAAATCAACTTTTGGACTCTAAATCTCTCTCTCCCCACTATTTTTCCAAAGGGTGTATCAAGTAGTTATTTCTTGGGGTAGGACTTGGAAATTGGGGCTATGTATTTAATTTGCTTCCTGAACAAATATTGTAGCTTACGGGTGGCGGGGGGACTCTGGTCTGCTGGGAGTTGCCAAAATGGATGCTTAAGTCAGCAAAAACCACACACGTCCTTTGCTTTGTCAACGTTTGGAAGCGTTAATAATTTAACTGCCCTGACCCCATGGCAGGGCACTGCTGGCTTTGAGGAAAACCCTTTTCAGGAGAATATCGTGGCCCTTGACTGTATAACGTTGCTGTGATACCTCAGCTGCGGCTGAACGTTGCTGTTTAGAAATAAAATTTAATGCACTGTCTGGAAAGTGGCGCTTGTGTTGGCAGAGGTTTTATTGGTCCCCGCTGCACCAATAAAAGTTAAAAACAAATATACTGTCCTCAAAAAAAGCACTTGGCACCTCTGTATATCAAAAAAGCAGGGACCAAAAAAAAGTCCTCCCTGCTAATAAGGGCCTGTGAGAGGGTTTGACTGGAAAAGCAAAACCAAAAAAGCCAGGTTTTTACCTGCCTCCCACTTAGGAGAAAGATCTGACTGCTTCTTCGGTCCAGTTCAGCCCCTGCAGGCTTGGGCTGCTGCACCACAACTCTGTGATGCAGAAATAAGAGTAAAAATCTTTCTTTTTTTTAAAAAAAAAAAATCCTTCAGGCAGCCCAGTTTAGCACAGATACTCTATGTCACTCTTCGCCGAGGGGAATTTTATCATTTTCCTGCCAGTTAAGAACAAGTAACTGAACAAACATGAGCTTTGTAGCTCATTCTTTACGAGATGCGAAGGAGGACGTGGAAGTAAAGCCAATTTAACATCCGCTTCCATAAATTCAGTCTCCTGAAAGTCTTCCCTGAGTTTTAAAGCTATCAGGAGCAGGATTAACAACCACCCCCTCTCTGCACTGAAGAACCAGCGCCCTTCACCTGCCCTGTGACCTGAAAAAGCAAGTACAGCCAATACAAGTTATGTCAACCATTACAAAATTTATTTAACACAAAAAAAAAAAAAAAGTTTACGCTCGGGAGTAAACAAAATAGGTGGGTTAGATCTTGTTACGGCCGTAACGATGCAGGTTTCTCCAGCGCTACACTCGTTCCAAGGCTTCCAGCATAATGATGCTGTTTCCTCGTATTACCTAAAAGTGAAAGTTGAGAGCAGCCAGTGAGATGCAGCACTGCAGGTCCTGTCCCCCCTCCCTCAATTTATCTGCCTTTAGGTGCCAAAAATTGAAGTGAATTCCGACTGATTTTAACTCTAAAACCCCACGGATTGCTCCGTGCTGTTAGTCAGACACATGCGCTCCTTTTAAAACTGAACGGGTGTGGTGAGTAGGTCGAGAGAGGTTCTCCTCCCCCTCTACTCTGCCCTGGTGAGGAATTCTGCATCTGGAATATTGTGTCCAGTTCTGGGCCCCTCAGTTCAAGAAGGACAAGGAACTGCTGGAGAGAGTCCAGCGCAGGGCCACAACGATGATGAAGGGAGTGGAGCATCTCCCTTACAAGGAAAGGCTGAGGGAGCTGGGTCTCTTTAGCTTGGAGAAGAGGAGACTGAGGGGGGACCTCATTAATGTTCATAAATATGGAAAGGGTGACTGTCATGAGGATGGAGTCAGGCTCTTCTCACTGGCATCCAATGACAGGACAAGGGGAAATGGATATAAGCTGGAACATAGGAGGTTCCACTTAAACTGAGGAAGAACTTCTTCCCAGTAAGGGTACCAGAACACTGGAACAGGCTGCCCAGAGAGGTTGTGGAGTCTCCTTCTCTGGAGATGTTCCAAACCTGCCTGGACGTGTTCTTGTGTGACCTGATCTAGGTGGTCCTGCTCCAGCAGGGGGACTGGACTAGATGATCCTTTGAGGCCCCTTCCAACCCCTGACATTCCATGATTCTGGGATCTCATTTTCCACACCCCAGCCGCGTCTCCCTCGGCTCCTTTCCACTCACCACCATGCCGATGTTGTTTTGCTGTCCTCCCGGCGCCATCTCCACGCACTCATCGATGACGAGGTTCATGAAGGGATCGAAGCCCCGCAGGATGCCCTGGACGGCGGCGTGTCGCCCGCCATTCAATTTCACTACAAGAAACGGGACGCGTTTCACGAAGGGGGCCGGCGCGACGCCTGGGGTGTTTTTGTCTCACCAGAGGCGCCGCTCTGAAAACCAGCGGGGTCACCAGGGGGTTCTTGTGTTCATTGGAAGCGTTTAGAGCATCGCGTCCCATGTGGTTAAGAAAAAGGCTGTTCTAAGAGCTCATGAGTGAAAATTTTAACCTAATATCGATGGCTTAACAAATATTAAATTAAATTGATTCATAAATACTTAAATAATAA